TAAATGGTCGATTCAGGTAAGTTTAGAACGGCAGTATTTTGGGTAGAAAAAAGTTTTGTGAATAAATGGAAATTATCTATGATATGAATTATTTGAGAAAATTGGCAAAAATGCACTGTGCAGATCGAGTATTTTTTTTTTTATCCTGGGCATTAAACAGTTTCGAAATTGATTTACGCAATTTGAAGAAAAAAAGTAAAAGATGATGTAAGTTCTGAAGGAAACAGGGATAAATAGAAAAAAGAATTAGAAAGGATGGAGGGAATAAGGAAACGGGGAGGAGGCTGGGAAAGTGGTCTCCTATTTATCATTTTTTATATTTTTTCGCTCTCCTGTTGTGTGCTTTCTCCCTCTCCTCTCCCTCCCTCTGTCCTCCTCTCCCTCCCTCTGTCCTCTCCCTCCTCTCCTCCCTCCCTCTCTCCCTCTCTCCCTCCCTCCTTCGATTTCTCTCTCCCCGTCCCACTAATCTATCTGTCTGTCTATTTATCTATCTATATATATCTACCTGTCTATCCATCAACGTTATCTATCATCTATCTCTTCTACCTTCACTTCTCCTCCTTCTACTCCTTCAAGAAATGAAATATAGGAAATGCAAACGATGTGCAATAATGAGGACGGGACGAAGATGAGGGAGAAGATGGAATGAGAGACGGAAGGAGGAAGAGGGAAGACGGAGGGGAGAAGGGTAATGGAAGAGGGGAGGGCAGAAGGAGGGAGAAGGAAGGGGGGAGAGGGAAGGGGGAGGGCAGAAGGAGGGAGAGGGAAGGGGGGCAGGAGGAATGATGGGAAAGGAGGAAGAGGGAGAGGGAAGAGGGCAGAAGGAGGGAGAGGGAAGGGGTAGAAGGAGGAGAGGGAAGGGGGGAAGGAGAGGAGGAGAGGGGATAAGGGAGGGAGAGAGGGTGGACCCCCCCCCCACAGTAGCGGTCACGGCCAGCGTCTATCGAGGGGGCACTTTCACCCGCGCTTCGGGTTCCGTCAGCTGACCCGACCGGAGAGGGGCGGATGACTGGATGCTGTTATACGAACGAGTGTCCTGCTTTCCCCTTTCTCCCTCCTTTCTTCCATTTCTCCTCCCTTTCTCTCATTTTCTCCTTTCTCCATTTCTCCTCCTTTCTCCTCTCTTTTCTCCCTCTTCTTTTATTTCTCTCCCTCCTCCCTCCCTTCTCATTTCTCCTCTCTTCCTCCCTCTTTCTTTCATTTCTCCTCCCTTTCTCTCCTTCTTCCCTCCCTTATTTGTTTCCTCTTCTCCCTATCCCTTCTTTCCCGTTCTCCACCTTTTTTTCCCTCCATCCCATTCTTCTTTCTCGTCTCTCCTTTTTTCCCTCTTCTTTCCTTCCTTCCTTCCCGTTTCCTTCCTTAGTCTGTTTCCCCCCTTCTCTCTTTTCTCTTGGAAAAACATAAAGGGGGGAAATTCACACACACACCAAAAAAATGTTTGTAAAAGGAAAATGGAGGGATTTATGAGAATTTGATGTGCAATAAGTAGCGCGGGTGTGGGACGTGGGTGGAGAGAAGGGAAGGGAAGGAAAGGGAAGGGAAGGGAAGGGAAGGGAAGGGAAGGGAAGGGAGGGGAGGGAGGGGAGGGAGGCTGAGGGAAGGGAAGGGAAGGGAAGGGGGGGAGGGAAGCGAGAGAAGAGAAGTGAGGGGAGGGAGGCGGAGGGATGGGAAGTTAGGGAGGGTGGTGGAGGGAAGGAAGGTGGAGGGATAGGGAGGGGAGGGAGGCGAGAGGGGAGAAGCGGAGAGATGAGAAGTGAGTGGAAGGAGGCGGAGGGAAGGGAAGCGAGGGAATAGAGTTGGAGGGAAGGAAGGAGGGAGGGAAGGAAGGTGGAGGGAGGGAGGGAAGGAAGGTGGAGGGATGGAGGGAAGGAGGGAGGAGAGTGGACAGGAAGGGCGAGGGAGGACACAATGAGGACGAACTCCTTTAGAGTAGGAGGAGCAGGTGGCGGGGGATGGTGGGGGTGGATGGCGGAACATCTGCATGTTATCAGACCCGCCCTCTCTTTCTTTTCTTTTTTCTGTCTCTTCTCTTTATTTTCCTCCCGCTTTCTTCCACGCTCATGTATCTCTCTCTCTCTCCCTCCTTCCTCCCTCCCTCCCTCCCTCCCTCCCTCCCCTCCTCCTCCCTCCTCCCTCCCTCTCCCTCTTCCTCTCTCCCTCTCTCTCCTCCCTCTCCTCTCCCTCCCCCTCTCTCCCCTCCCCCTCTTCTCCTCTCCCTCTCTCCTCCCTCTTCTCCCTCCCCCTCTCTCTCCTCTCTCTCTTCTCTCTCTCTCTCCTCTCTCTCTCTCTCTCTCCTCTCTCTCTCTCTCTCTCTCTCTCTCTCTCTCTCTTCTCTCTCTCTCTCTCTCTCTCTCTCTCTCTCTCTCTCTCTCTCTCTCTCTCTCTCTCTCTCTCTCTCTCTCTCTCTCTCTCTCTCTCTCTCTCTCTCTTCTCTCCTCTCTCCTCTCTCTCTCTCTCTCTCTTCTCCTCTCTCTCTCTCTCGTTCACTAAGCGCGCGCACACACACACACACACAACACGACACAACGCACACGCACAACCACGCACACACGCACACACGCACAACACCACACTCACACACAGTCACACACACACCCAACACGCACATTACCACACACACACACACACGCACACACACACGCACACACACACGCACCACACACGCACCACACACGCACACACAGTTCACACACACACACACACACATACACACACACGTCATCATACAGTTGTGTTCCAGAAAGAAGAAAGAAAACAAAGTAAAAATCGATGTGGCTCCTCGGGCGTGGCACGAATGAATGAATGAATAGATAAAAAAGTGAGAAAAAAAAATCTTCTCCCCCCTGAACTGACCCAGTCGCTTGGGGGGGGGGTTAGAAGTGCCCACGGAATTCGGCGCTTTCGGAGCCGTGGCATTGGCGGCCCCCCGAAAAGGAGCGGCGTCCTCTGTCTCGCACTCTCGCTCTCGCCCTTATTTGTCACTCTTCTTTGTCTGTCGTGCACTCTCGCTCTCCTGTTTCTCTCCTCTCCTCTTGTCTCGTCTCCTCTCTCCTCTCTCCTCTCTCCACTCCTCTCTCTTCTCTCTTTCTCTTTCTCTCTTTCTTCTTCTCTCTTTCTCTTCATCTTCTCTCTCTCTCTTTCTTTTCTCTTTTCTCTTTCTCTTTCTCTCTTTCTCTTTTCTCTCCTCTTTTCTCTTCTTCTCTCCTTCTCTCTCTTTTCTCTTTCTCTCTTCTCTCTTCTCTCTCTCTTTCTCTCTTTCCTCTCTTTTCTCTCTTTCTCCTCTTTCTCCTCTCTCTCTCTCTCTTTCTCTCTTTCTTCTCTCTCTCTCTCTCTTCTCTCTCTCTCTCTTCTCTCTCTCTTCTCTCTCTCTCCTCTCGTCTCTCTCTCTCTCTCTCTCTCTCTCTCTCTCTCTCTCTCTCTCTCTGTCAATTCTTCACTCTCCCTTGTTTATCACTCTTCACCCTTCTTTTCCTCCCGCAGATGGCACTCTCATTCTCGCCTGTCAATTTTCACCTTTTCTCTCATTCTCCTCATTCGTCAATCACCCTCACCTATGAGTTTCACCCTTACTTGCCTGTCTCCTCCCTCATCAGTCACTCTCCTTCCGCGCCCATTCACCCTCGCCATCACCCTTTGTCTCACCTTGGCCACTCACCCTTACCATCCTTCACTTCACGCTTACTTATCACTTTTCATTCTCACCAGTTTCTTCTCCTCCCACGTTTCCTCCTCCTCCTCCTCCTCCTCCTCCTCTCCTCCTCCTCCTCCTCCTCCTCCTCCTCCTCCTCCTCCTCCTCCCCTCACCTGTCACTCTCCACCCTCTCTCACTCGTGTCTCCCCGTCTACACTACTCACCTTCACCTGTCACCCTGACCAGTCTCTTTCCTTCCATATCGCTCCCTACCCTTATCCCTCCTCCATCCTCAAATCTCCACTCTCAACCTGTCACCCTTCTCCCTTTCCCTCCCTCGCCCTCCCTTCCCTCACCCTTCCCCTCCCCTCCCTCTCTCAATTCCCCTTCCCCTTCAATCCCCCTCTCCCCTTCCCCTTCCCCTTCCCTTCCCCCTTTCCCCCTCCCTCCCCCCTTTCCCCCTCCCTCTCCCTTTCCCCCTTCCCCTTCCCTTCCCCTTCCCCCTTCCCCTTCCCTTCCCGCCTCCCCTCCCTCTCACCTGTCACCATCCACCCTTCCCTTCCCTTTCCCCTCCCCCCTTCCCTTTCCCCTTCCCTTCCCTTCCCCCTCCCCCTCCTCTCCCTGTCCCTTCCCCCTCCCCTTTCCCCCCCCCCCCCCTCCAACTCCCTCTCACCTGTCCCACCCTCGACCCTCACCCTCGGGACCTTCGACCACGCCGTTCCCTCGCCGAGGACATTACGGGACTTCCGGCGACCCCTCGTTAGTATGCTGTGGGTAACGTCCCTTGACCTGCCCGTTGGCTTTGACCTTCACCTCGCCCCCCATCGCTTCCCCTCCCTTCTTTTGCCCTCTTTGTTATTTTGGGCTCCTGTTTCTCTCTATCTATCTTTTTCTCTCTCTCTCTCTCTCTTCTCTCTCTCTCTCTCTCTCT